GTGCACACATAACTGTCTACTCCCCTAATAATTGAATCCCCCACTACCACAACCTCCCTCTTTCTGGGGGGAGGGGGCTCCTCAGTGCCCAAGGGCCCACCTGCTTCCCCAGTCCCTTCCGGCTCTAAAGCTGGAAGCACCTGAAACCTGTTAGACACAGACACCTCAGGTGATGCCGCCTCTGTAACGTGTGTACGCCTTTTCCTGCGTCTACGACCTACGGTCACCCAGCTCTCTCGACCTCTCTGCTCTTCATTCTCCCTCCCCCCCGTTAGTGGCGTACACACCGTCTCCCTAAACGGCGTATCAACTAGCTCATCTAACTCACTGTTGCATTGGATGCGAGCCAGTTGCTCCTCAAGGTCGCGAACCTTGACCGAACCTTGACCATGAGTGAGTCCACTAGCTTACATCGCTCGCAGATGAAGTCCGACTGGACACTAACGTATTGTATTGTATTGTAAATGTATTGTACATTAAGAGAGAACTTTGAAATAACTAATTTCTGAAGTTTTGCCATCATTTAAAAGAATATTGTCTATTTTCCTCTGATAAAATTACTATTGTAGCAATGTAAAATGTAATATTTTTTTACCTCAATTTTTTTAGCCACCAGCCACCACTGATTTGCATGATGAGAAATGCAACATAGATCCAAGGCTTATGATTATTAATCAGCTCATGGATGTGTATGATTAACAAATATGGTTGTATATAATGATACATAAGTTTAGGACGACTAAACGTAACTTTTACATCAGAAGGCATACCCTTATACTATATATTATTTAGTACAAGTATATATAATTTACATTATAACTTTCACAAAAAAGTTTCACATATCTTCAGATCTGCTAGGAAATTAGTAACGTTATTCTTTTGCTTCTGCTATCATTAGAGTTGTGCAAACCCAAAATTGGGTGTTGTGTCACAATTTTCAGTTTTTTTCCTTTACACAAAGTTCATTCAGTTCATTACACTATCAAGTGAATGTCTTTTCAGGAAATATAGTTATCATTACAGATGTAGGGCTTTCATTGGAAAAGGACGCTAACACTATTGAACATGATTTCTACGATGACAGAGCACAGGGCCATTAGAGGCCTTGAATATCCCTGAGCAAAGGACTTAAATAAATTGAATCAGCTAAATGTATTGTACATTGGAAGTACTTTCTGCATCCTTATCATGTTATTAGTTATGAATAAAAACCATGTCAATGATTCACTATATATTTTACTATATGCAGCAATATCAGATAAACTCTGAATATCTGTATTACTATGGGCTTTAAAAAGAATCCAAAAAATATATAACAGGAGAAAAATAAATATGGTTATTTATTATTTTGTACATGGTTTTGAGAATATGAATAAAGATTTTCAGAAGTTTAAGGCTCATGAACCAGGCCACCTGAAGTCTTCACTCTGCATTGCACTTTCTGGATAAAGATAGACCTTGTAATGTGTGATAACAGGCTTCACAGGTTCCTCGACTCGACACCAAACACCCTCAGAAATGTGCATAATAGATGCAAATTAACACTCAGACCCTGAAAAAATAATCTTGAAAAATAAAGATTTCAACACAATAACAGTGTACATAGTAAAACAGATCACTATTCCATAATATGCCATTTAATACTGATATGCGGTTGACATTGTATAAAAAATAGTGCATATACTGAAGACCTGTAGATAATGGTCTACATCGTGCCTTCTGTTACCATACTGGAGAGTGACTGAGCACTTCACCACCAGAGGAAACTGATCTGCATAAGACCATGTACATCCTTGAGATTAATAATGGCTGCAGAGCAGTGTTTCCCAAACCGGTCTTAGGGAACCAACAGACAGTCCACGTCTTTGCTCCCTCCCAATTCCCTGCCAGACCCTACATTTTTGCTCCCTCCCAATTCCCTGCCAGACCCTACATTTTTGCTCCCTCCCAATTCCCTGCCAGACCCTACATTTTTGCTCCCTCCCAGCTCCCAAAATGTGGACGGACTGCTGCTTCCCAATGACTGGATTTAGAAAAAATCCTGTAGAGAATTGCCATCAGTTCAGTACTATTCTGGGTCTGAAGCATCTTGGTGAAGAACTTATGAGGTTCAGCATGCTGTTCATAAGCAAAGGTGGTGCCACAACAGGTCTGCTGGGTCAGAGTGGTCGCACTTGGATGACATTGACCTCTGACATGTCTCCCCTGGGGGACACATCCAGCTGTTGGGTGTCATTGCTGGTGATGATAAAGACGATGGAAGATGAGCTGAATGTCACCCTCTTCTTAGGGCGGTCGCTTACTCTGTGGGAGACGACAATGGGACGGATGGGCTGGTTCACCTGGGGTAGTGGCCGCTCTTTAATGCTTTGCTGCAGTCTCAACAGGCGAGAGCAGAGCAGCTGCAGCAGGCAGCGGCGGAACTGCCAGGGCAATAGGAGGGGCATGAGAACATTTAAAGAACATTACATAAACTTTACAGCAATGTGGCTGCAGTATGGCTAATGAAAAGTACTTGTGCTTTTAGATAGTTCACAAAAATTCAGTGGTAGACTGGTTAGTACTAATTTTAAAATACTGGTTAACATTTTTGGTAACACTTTACTGGAGGGGGCACAAGTATAGTATTATGATTTAACTTATGTATTAATTAACCACAAACTAGAGCTTTCATTTTCATCTCATGTTCATTCATCATTAATGAATCATGACACATGTTTTATCTCAAGCAGTTACTATATATGTTACTCTATCTGTTAATACTGCAAACCTTTGAGAACTACAAAGGAACTACTGAAGAAACTACTAAAAGAACAAGCAATGAATAACAAGTTGTTTGTTCATCATTAATCAATCATGATGCATCATTTATCTCAAATAGCCGAGTTACTGCTAAATATTTGTGCTCCCTCAAGTAAAGTACTACCAAATATTTTATATAAAACATGCAATAAATAGAAATGCTAAGACCTCACCTTTCGGCTCATGGTGATGTAGATCAGAAAGTTGTACATCGTGCTGGACTTGGCCAGAAAGGAGGGAATGACGGAGAGAGACGGCGTGATGACCTTCTTTTTGCCGAAGGCCTCCAGCATGGACACGACTGCATAGGGTGTCCAGCAGACAAGGAAGCAGGATATCATCAGCAGAAACATGGCCGTCACCTTTTTCTCATAACAAAGGACTTTAATTACCTGAGCTGTCTGAAGGTCCTGGATAGACTGAAGCTGCAATAAAAAATTAAATAAAAAACGTATGTCAAGACATCTAATTTTTATGTATGGATATTCTCAGATCAATTGCACAAAGAACAAGGGCATCACTAGGGCTGTACTGTATTAGGGGGTCTTTTTTTCCCCTAAAATGATCTTTAACTTCCCCAAATAAATGAACACTGATTAATTTACATTGTCTTTTCTAATTCATTTTCATTCAATTGCTTTGCAGTCATCTAGATTGTTGGTTGGCCCCTTTAAGAGTGACCGACCACCCTTGCAGCATTTTTTGCTTGGGGAAAGGCAGCGGTTATTGATTGCTATGACTTTGCACATCTCACTGGGGCCTGAGCCCCCTAAGGGTCAAGTCCTAGAACTGGCCTTGAGGAAAAAGTGCATTACAATGATTTCAGCACAAGAATGCATTACTTATGTTTATGAATTGTTACAATGTGTCACTTTTCTATACCACACTATGCATTAATACTGAATTCTTTTAGGTTACTTTAAAGTTAGAAGATATAAAACATTCATTGCTGGTACCACATATCCATGAAATTCAAAATGCAACACAAATCGAATAATATTTTATGAGAAAAAATTATGTTTCCTATTTAAAAGTTGGAATTTGTATTCAAATGTATGCATACTTTGAGCATTTTAGCCACTATTTTTATGGGAAAACAAATGATGACAATATTTCAAATCAGCAAGTCTGTTGAGCCATGAGACCATCTAGAAGTCACACTTTTTTTCTTTTTTGAAGGTATATTTATGCACACATTCTACATGGTCATTTATGATAGATGCATGTGACAGACTTTATACATTTTCTCAAAATGCATCTTTTATTTGCAGCAGAGTGGATATTTAACAGTGTATTAATACTTTAAACATCCTGCAATGCTCTTTCACTGCTGGGAGTTTATTTTCTGTAGACACTGAAGGGGTCCTCTTATATTACAGGGCTGGTAGGGTTGCGGTTTCCCAGAAGCAGATCTTCAAGGTCGTGAATATTTTAAAATCACACGGCAGTTCGAACTCTGTCACTGCCCGAAGAATACAGGTGCAGTGACATCTTTGGTTATAGACATTGTGTATTAAGTGACTTTATCCCCACTTGAATCACGGGCAATACTCAACATCGTAAACAAGGGTAAGAGGATTATGCAACGGCCACTTAAATTCAACCCTGTTTTTCCCCTCACAGGTGATAAGGTTGGGAAGCTTTTCTCATTTTGTTCTTAAGGCAACCTAGAGTTAGTTATACACAATGCCGGTATATGCCAAGGTTTACAGTAAGGCAGTGTTTTCAGCTGTACTTGATTTCTTTGTGGGGACTTGTAAAATGGTCCTCTCAACATGAAAAAAACAGGTTTTTATTACATTGTGGGGGACATTTGGTCCCCAAAATGTAATACAAACCTAATCCCGAAACAAACATTGTTTTTTTTTTTTGAGAAAGAAGGTTTCTGGAGCAATTAGGGGTTAGGGGCCCTCCTTAGTGGCTAAAAGATTAAGTCACTCCGCCAACACCATCAGAGTCATATTAAAATAGTTAGAGCCCCCAAGGGCTATCTGAGTCATCAGAGGCCCCCTACTAGTTTCTTTGTAGGCATGGAAGTTATACTTTATGAAGCCTCTACGCTACAACCCAGGTAAGCCTGTGCATTAAGGTGCCCCTGCACATCATATGAGGCATGGATGGATCTTCACAAAGAGAGAAACTTGCGGGGACCTTACCATTCGCACAGTGTACAGGATATTCCCATAGCAGTAAGCCATTATCCCGATGGGCACAAAGAAGCAGGCTAGTAGGAAGAAGATTATGTAGGAAGAGTCATTGGGGTCTTTGGAAGACCAGTCCAGGGAGCATCCCAGCTGGTGGGTCTCAAGTACATACTGATTCCAGCCGAACAGCGGCACCCCAGTCCAGGCCAGCGAATAGAGCCATATCTGCGTGATTGCCTTCCAGGCCCAGGGGAAGTCAACCACTTTGGCATGCACGACTCGTATGTAGCGTTCGTACGCCAGGGTGGACAGAGACATGATGGACACGACACCTGCAAGCAGAGAAGTGAGACAGCAATCACACTGCAAGTGACAATAAGCACAATTGCACCATCAAATCCTTTATCTATCAATACACCACATGAGTTGCTACGTGAGATGTTTTCACCAGTTGGGTGTTCCTGAAAGATCACTGCATTATGTCATAGTTCCACTCCACGCAGAATCATCAAATAAAATGTCAGGCTATTCATAAAATTTTGTGGCAGGAATTTCTTGTTCTATGAGCTGAGTCAGCTGAGGACACAATGTCATGAAAACTTCCCTCCCTTTACCATCCAGCCCAGCATATCATTACTAAGCAAAAACACTGGTTTTATTTCATAGGCAGAGCCTGAAAGTATCCTCACAAACTTGGCCAGAGATGGTAACGAAAAGCCCATTGTTACTCATGGTTGACTGGCACAAGATTAATATGTTGGCATATCCTCTTAAACACTGAAGCTTTCAAGTTCATTTTTGGGTTTAATTCACCATAAAGTTTTGTGTGTGTGTGCGAGAAATATAGACTGGAGTGTATATTTCCCATAGCCATGGGTGTCGCCGCCATTAAATCAGAGGGGGGCGTATCCCCCTCACATTTCAAAATTATTCGTTTGGACCCCCTCACATTTAACATAAAATATTAGTTTTATGCCAGTGTGTCCGCCCCCCCACCCCCTCACTTTCAAAATGCTTCTGACGCCACTGCCCATTGCTCATCTGCAGTTAAAATGCAGTGAAGAATCAGCACAAGGGCACGTTTTGTGTGACTATGTCAGTCCTTGTGGTTTTGTGATCATGTATGTTTGATTGGATAGGAAAGTTATGTGGGAGTAGGTGTGAATTCTTGGATAGGAATGTTACGTGGGAATTATGTGTGAAGTACCCTATGTATCAATGTATAAAAGACTGTTCTTGTATTTCACAACATGAAAATGAGTATCAATGTTCAACCACAGGCAAAGTTGCTGTCCTTTTTGCATTTTCTGGGTTGGGTGCTCTGGCTGGCTAATTAAGGGCATGGCAGCTTAGCTCAAAGGTGGCTCTGTCAATCCCCACAGCAACCCCTGAGTGGATAATGACTGAAGAATGACACCTAACCTGAATATTTCCAATAAAATATCCAGCTGTAAAACATACAATAGATTTCCATGTATGACATCACGCATAAGCTACTTATTTCAGCTGCTTCCAACTTCGCATTCAACATGAATATAAAAAACCTCGGCTGGTGTTGTAGGTGTTAACAATACCTACAATCCCATTATGAATATTACATATGTTTTGTCTCAAAGTATGTCAGATGTCTTCTGTAGAAAACCATCTGAAGGTGATAAAAGTTGACCCATTAAATGTTTACTCTTGTTTACACAGTATCCTACCTACGGCACATGCTGAGGTCTTGACCTTCTGCACAATACATGGGGAAACCTTGACAATACACTTCTTTGGAAGCTCATGCCTATTTTCCTGCTGCCATAGGTGACATGCTATTAGAAATTACATCAATCTACTTAAAACTGAACCCTGTTTAGAATGTAAATAATCAGTGATTTTGTGTGTTTGTGTAAAAATGTATGTTTTTTTACTGGTGTCTTGGTCTAGGCCCAGTATTACGGTAACGATGGATGGATGGATGGATGGATGGAATTTAAGTTTTGTTCTAGCTAACCTCCTGATTCTGGCCGTCTTTGTCTTTTTGCATTGTATAGCTGTTACGTTTTAGCGTGATCAATGTAGCCAGTGCTTTGCATAACCAATTGTTGTAAAACTATCGTGATGATGATAATAATTATTATTAGATATTTGGAAAAACGATGCGCACCTAAACTTACCATCTCATCGAAATGAGGAAATATCTGTTTCACCAATTAACACTATGAATGTTAATTTTTCTGATTTTACAATAAAAAGTTTTCTTTTATAACCAGAGCAAAGCAATGCAAAAGACTACAGTTTACAAATAATGTCCAATTGTGTCTGACCATGTACACTGTCTGCTGCATGAAGGGCAGACCCTCTCTTGGTGACAAACCTGTCAGAGTGCTTATTACATTACACACATCATCTTAAGGAGGAGCTCTGTGATAAGGGCATCTTATCCAGGTTGAGATGGGCGTAATGAACCAAATCACAAATCTGTTTGCCAGCTAATAACTAGATAAAAGCAAAACTCCTCTACTGGAGGATGAGCAACCATTCATTCCATTTTTGAAGCTACGTAACTGACAAAACTGTGTAACTACTGTCTGTACCTAACTCTTGATCCATTTAAGCAGTCAACATATTGCCCTTGTTCCTCTGCAACATTATTCTTCATTTTGATTTTTTTATAGAATCTTCTAGAATTAACATTGCCATTCCCCCCTCTACAGTGAAATCATAACTGTTACAAAAATTCATATTGCACATTCAACACTCTAACCATAATCTATTACTGCACATTCCAGCCCATACAACTCACACCTATTTGCACAAATGTATTTTCGATTGTATTTTTCTATCTGTCTTGTCCATGTCTCAGTATGTCCCGTTTAAACTGTAAGATTTTCAGGGCTTAAATATTATATTTATATTCTATTTATCACTGTTTTTCTTGCACTGTGACCAATGACATCATAATTTCATCTCAGCATATGTCTCATTTATAATAAAGCTGAAGATGACAATAAAGATATTTTTACTTTGTATTCTGCCTCACAGGACTGGATTCATAGCTTCACTGGCTTTTTCTTATTCTGTATTCCTTCGGTATTACTGTAACATCTGTAGTTCAATCAGTTTAAAAAATAATTATAAAAAAATGTAATAACGCGTATGCATTTGAAGTTTACTCAACTGCACAATGAACAAATATGCTGCCAATAGGCTATATAGCCTAATTACAATTTATAAAATGACGGTGTCATAAAATGACGAACAAAATGAATATCAAATAAAACTGAGACAACTATAAACATTTAATTATAATTAGTAACAATTCCTGAAATATGAATATGACGTATCTTCTAAAGACTATTCCGAATACTCGAAAACCCAGTTATTAAACATTAAAAATATTTATATCGATTGAGTGCAGATAAAGAGTACCGAAATACCAACCAAATAAACTGTTGCTGAAACCATCCCAGATGCATGTTGGCGAATTCCAGACCCACCCTCCTTTGATGCAAGAAGCAAATGTAAAGTTAATTCCAAAAAGAGACACCAGCAAGTCGCTTATACTTATATTTACCAATAACAAATTTGTGGGCGTCCGGAGTCTCTTAAATTTGTAATAAAGCACCAAAACGATTACGTTGTTGCAAAAACCAAAGACGCCAATTATTCCGATAGTGAAAGCAAGAAGTTTGAGAGTGCCAGAGGCGAAAATGTACTCTTCTGCGCTGGACTCAGTCTCTGTTCCATTCGCAGAATTCATTGCGTGTGAAACTCCGGGTCCAGCATCGTGCTGTGTGCGCTGATCATTGCCACCGTTTCCTAGCGCTACGGAGAGGGTGCTCTTTTTGCGCCGTTCTTGGATTTCCAGTTTTGCAATCCGATTAAACCCATCTTCTGAGGACTGGAGAATTAAGAAGCAATTTAAAGAGGGAAGAGGGTTATAGTTTAGCGTGTCAGAGCTGTTTTTTTTTTTTTTTTTTTTTTTGCGTACCTGTCACGTGTGTAGTGAAGTAAATGACAACAGACACGGGTATAAAAAAAAATTTATTTTTATATTTTTAAGTTCACCACACATTGGCATGACGTATACATTTATTTGCGTAGAAACATTCTGAAAACGCGGTATGGTGTTTACATTAAGATTAGGCCTAAGTACTAAAAAACAAAGGGAGTCTTGCAACAGTCTCTTTTCTTTAAAAACAACTGCACATGGTTATTCATCTAAATGGGGAACGACCTAACAAGAGATAATAGGTAATCCTCAACATGAGTTTGAAACTAAGACATAAAACAAATGGGCTGTAATTCACGTGAAATAATAGCTAATTGTTTGATGGGCTGATACAGTGATGCTAGCTGTGTACATTGTGTTAGACTTGTTATAGGCCACAGAATCGGAAGGACAGTATTGATGAGTTTACCAGAGATTTAAAGTTGAAGTCAAGGTCTAATGTCTGTAACATGCACTATTACAACTTCCTGCCACCGGAGCAGACTGAGGCCACGCTAGTGAAAATCAGGCATATTTCATTTATTACGTTTTAGACGTGACAAATCACACAGTTTCTGGATTTGTGAAAGCAGTGAAGTCTTAAGTTGTCTGTGGTGATATCAAATATTGAATTAGGTCAAAACATCATAGCAATAAATAAAACCTTTGAATGCATTGTTTGTGCGCACAGAAAGATCACAGAATGTTATAAGCTACGCAAAGTCTACGAAGAGTCATTAGAAAGTGCACGCCATTGAACTTAAACATTTGTTATATTAAGATAGAAAAACAAGGTTCCGAATCATCTGAAGCATAGATTACGAAGCACATAAAGAGACAGGGTTGGAAAATATTATTTTACAATGCTTTTGCGTTTCTTCGCAAATGTTTAAATGCAACTTAAATACTAAAGAATGTGACATCCTATTTTATTATACCTAATATAAACAAAGCAACCAATCAACCTCAGTAGTAATTTAAAGGTGACCTTTCCGAATGGTGCAGCATCTGTTTATCATTATAACTGTGACGATTTCAGTATGCATCTTTAATGATAGCATACTCCTAAGAAAACATTTATTCTCCAAACTATTTCAGCACCTGAATACCAACAAAAATATGTAAAAGAAAAAGCAAACAAAATCTTTCCGCCATAATATACATACCCCAAAATTCACAACAGTGTCACAGAACAGGAAAACTATTTTTGTCTTTCCTTGGAAAAAGGCTTTTGAATAGCATGAGGAAAACCCAGTACCTGATTGCATGTTCTAACAACATAATGCCTGACCCAGCTGATTCCCGCTGCTACATATTGAAGAATAACAATAAAACTGAAAACTTAAAAAAAAAAGAAATTCTACTTACACAGTATAGTAATTACACTACGAGACATGCCATAAATTCATTGCCTTACAAAAAGTATTCAGACCAGTGACATTTTGCTCGATAATAATTAGACAATTCTTTAATATTTTTATGTCTTGTTTTAATTCAAAACAATAATACTCACAGTTATTAAATTAGTGGTGCTTGCCATCTAATTATTTTCCTTAGCTAATTGCCATCTCATACCGCATTTGTATGCATTCTGATGCTTGAACTGTAACAAAACATAAACTCCAAGCTTCAAAAAGCCAATGACTGAGAGCATGGGTCAGATTTTCATACTGGCTCTTTTGTTCAGCACAGTGAGCTTCTTTAAAATCTAACTACGCTGCATTTCTGCATGAATGAGCACTATGTGGTCGGATTCTTACACTGATTGCAAGGGTCCGGCAGTGTAGCCGACGTGGAAATTGAATCTTTCGCTACTTAACTGAAATTGTTGTGGTGAAAGGCCAAAAGCATAAATTAACCTCTTCAAATTGGAAATAAATTGAAGAAAAATGTGATAAAGCAAGGAATGATAATATTTTAAAAGTGTAACTGTATAACAGATGGTTTTGTGCCCTACAATTAGAGGTTTATTTTCTATCTTCAGACAACAGGCCTGATAATGCAATTTACTGAAATTTCTAGAAAGAGAGACAAACATAAGCTTCTTGAACATGGTACTGCTTGGTATGTTATCCTGAGCTGAATGGGAAGTATGAGTGTAATGATCAGACAGAGTGGATCCAAGTGTAGGAGGTGTGGATGTTTAATTCAGAAGCTCAGATCAAAGTCAGAGACAGGCAGGGTGAAAAGCAAAACAATCCAGAAAAGCAATCCAAAGGGCAGCCTGTAAGTACAAGCATTCGGCAAGCCAGTAATAACCAGCAAAATACACAGACAAGAGTCACAAGACCTGGAGGTCTGAAACACAGATGGGCACTAATAGACATAAAAACCACTCAGTAAAGCACAGGCACTCAATACTTCACAAATTCTTAAGCAAAATACTACATTTATACTCAGGATCTAATTACTGGCAATGTATTGCAGCTGACAGTGATCGTTCCAGGTGTGGTGGGTTAGGTGAAAGTGGGTGTGGTCAGAGCTAATCAGATGCGGGTATGACAATAAGCTGTAAGCCTGCTGCTTCCCATGTGTTTAAGCGTCATCAAATAGAAACACAGAAAAATACTGGTTTATTCAACTCTTTCTGTTGTCCAAAATGAGAATAAGTAAAAGCATGTGATAAAATAACTGCTATTTGTCATTCTTTAAAAAGTTTTCCTCCTTGTATTTCTTTGTCTCTCCGTTGTTGCTCTCCTTCTGTCACATTGGTTACATCTATCTTTCTCTGCCTGGATCCCGGCATCAGAGTCTGAGGGTGGCTGAAACCAGCACAGGTTTCCACCCAATGATGCAACACAAACTGACAGGTCTAAAACTTCAAAAGCTCCTTGGTTCTTACTCACAAAGTTGTCTCCAGAACTTTGAATTAGCCCTGTCCTCTGAGGGGCTACAGTTTCTCAGGGGCTAGAATCTGTTTTTCAAATGAGGTCCATTTGCATGGTGTTCCGTCTTCTTCTGTGGGAGATGCCATACTGTCGCATCTCAAACATACCAAAAAGAAACAAGACTTCTTAATTGATTACATGGTACAAATATAGAATATGATCACAGAAGCTTCCTTCTAAGAAGGAATCAAGGGAACATATTGTAAATGGACTAAAAAGAAAAAAAAAGCTATTGCAAAATTTACAATATTTAAACATAGGGTGAGTTTCCCGAAGCCTTGTTAATGCTATGTCGTTCGTAAGTTCTATGTTAAAAGACGGCTTGGCTTTGGGAAACTCACCCATAATCTTTTTTATTTATGCTCATAGATCTATCAATAATTTGTACAATTCAGTGTTTCTCAAACCAGTCCTCTGGAACCCCCCAGATAGTCCACACTTTTGCCATATATACCTATATAATTTGTCATAGCTTTGTATAAATATATTACAGATTTTTTTATTGCCTGTTTTCAGATTATTAATCAATAAATAAAAATAATTGTCATTAGTTTGGGGTTTGACTGAATTTCTCATTGCTCAAAATGTGAAAAATGCACAAGTCTCCCACACCAAGACAAGCCCAGCCAACTCCAGCTGTCCAGTCACACCCAGTCAGTTCTCATGAAACCACCCCAGAATACTAGGCTCGCCCATAGCTCATCAAGCCGATTAACTGACATTAAAAGTGCCTGATCCACAATTAACTCTTTGTGCAGATCACTTCTTTTGTGCTATCAAATTGAATGTTTGTTTCTGTCCTGGGCCTGTATCACAAAGCTGGATTTCTTGCTTAGCCAGATAACTTGTCAGTTTTAAGGTGCCCCAGTTTAAATGGACTTTGTCATCGTTCACTTGCATTTAGTCCAGACTACCTTAAACCCATCAAGTTATCTGGCTAAGCAAGAAATCAAGCTTTGTCATACAGGTCCCTGGTTTTTGACTCATTGCCTGTCTGTAGACCACAATTCTAGAAATTAACCTGTTACTCCTGCACTTGGATCTTCTCCCTGTCCAGTCATTAACAAGGAAGACATATTGCATTTTAATTATTTAGTAAGTCAGGTGTATATAGCACCAGCATGGTTTGGTTGAGAACATGAATCATTGTTTTACTCTATCAATTTGTTTTCATTTATTATATTGTCAATGCTTTGAGATAATATTTCAAAGGAAGCAAAGGGCATTGAATCATAACACTTATTGTGCTGTGAATGTGGGCCATGTTCTCTGCATTTCGTATGTGCAAAAATAAAGTAAGACTTAATTAAGGAAGATGAATGTGTCATTGTGTTTCAAAAAGTAATCTTCCAAGAAGCTGTCTAAATTAAATATCACAACTTTTATGAAGGGGTGCTTAATTACGTTCAAACTTATCTTGCTTTTACAATACTTGCGAATGTCCTTATATAACTTCTGCATAGGTGACTACACTTGCATTTGTATCTTGTTGGAAACAGTCATTTTGTGTTTTATAGTATAAGACAAGGCATTTTCAAAGTAACATTCTACATTTTCCCTCCAATATGTTTCTTTTCCATGTATTTCAAGATCAATTATTCAACTAGCTGTATAATTAGCAGTGCATTTCAGAGTGTTTGGTAGGTCACAAGGCTAAATCTATTTTTCTGAAAAAATTGGGTTAAGGGATTGAATTCTGACTCTGCTATGCGTGTTTGCAGTTTGAGAAAATTACCCATAATACATTTTGGTCCGCATATGTATGTGTCCTGAGATAGAGTGGTATTCTGCCTAGGGTTTACTCTAGCCTTGTGCATTATGCTGCCTGTGATAGGCTCCAGGCAACCCTGACCAGGATAATAGATGAGAGGATGGATGAGTGGATGGATAGATAATGCTTCATAATAAATTTATGGGCAAAGGGACACACAGAATTTGAAAAACTTTGTGTGAATGTGCTGTATCTATATGATGTGGCCCTTCTCTCTCTAATACTAATCATCTCCACACTGGCTCTCATTTTAATTATTCTGCACAAGCTTCTAAGAGTTAGAATTCATCTTGGTAACTAACATAATGC